AGTACAAAGCTGCAAAGTACAGACTGAAGAAAGCCATCACAGCGGCCAAGAGGCAGTACAGGGAGAAGCTGAATGGCTTCTATTCTACTGCTGACTCCGGATGAATGTGGCAAGGCCTGCAGCACATCACAGACTACAGGACCATAGTCAGCCCCACAGACAGCCTGCCGGATGACCTCAACACCTTCTACACCCACTTTGAGACCTCCAGCCACAACACAGAGAGGAAGTACGCACACAACTGGACCACCCAACTCCCCTGGCATGTGCCAGCAAGCTGGCTGATGTTCTCACCACAATCTTCAATCTCTCCCTCAGCCAGAGCATCGTTTCCCACCTGCTTCAAGACCACAACCATTGTCCCCCTTCCCAAGAAGAGCCCGGTCTGCCTGAACGACTACAGGCCAGTGGCACTCACCCCAATCATTATGAAGTGTTTTGAGAGAGTTATGCTAGCCCACATCCAGAGCAGTATACCAGACACCCTGGATCCCCTGCAGTACGCCTACCAGCCCAACAGGGCCACCTCAAATGCTATCATTGCTGCACTCCACTATTCACTTTCTCACCTGGAAAATGGAGACTCCTACATCAGGATACTCTTCATTGACTACAGCTCCCCCTTCAACACAGTTGTCCCCAACAAACTCACCCGCAAACTGTCCACACTGGGTCTGCACCCCAGTCGCTGTGACTGGCTGGTGGACTTTTTCACCGGCCGGGGCCCCACAGGATTGGCAGTAGGACTTCAGCCAGCATTATCACAAAAAAGCATTGTACAAAAAATACAGAAAAACATAACCCAGCTATGAGGGGTTAACCTCATAGCAAGAAGGATCCGGGTTTGTGCCCTGGCCGACACAATTTCTCTGTGGAGTTTGCATGTTCTCCCTGTGGTGTGTGGGTTCTCTCCGGGTGCTTCCTCCCACAGTCCAAAGACATGCACCTTAGGTTGACTGAAGACTCTAAATTGTGTCAGGAGGGCATCCAGTGTAAAACCATGCCAAAATACTCATGCAAACTGGATTCAGTGTGGTGACCCCTAAGTGGAACAGCTGAAAGTAGAATACAGTAGATAACCCAGCTATGAAAAGCTAAAGCTGCAGTAGGTAATATTTGTGTCGTAATAGTACTTTTTCCAGTTGGACGACAAACAACATATTTCACAAGGAATTCAGGAATAAAATTGTCTCCGTGAGGTTGTACCTGTGCGGTACTTTGAACTAAATGTTAACAATGGAATACTAATATGCTCACAGTGACTGAGCTAACCTGCATTTAGTAGGCCTATGCAAGAATTGTTTTAGCATCATGGTTTTGTGTTAACATGCTAACATACGTCATGCTAATTAGCACAAAACTCAAAGCATCTGAAGCAAATGGAAAAGTCCGCTGAAGTCTGTACTTGTCCTGTTTGGTTGCTGAGCCAAACCAGACAGTGATGGAGGTCCAGAGAACAGACTCGATGATTCCTCTGTAGAACTGTATCAGCAGCTCCTGGGGCAGGTTGAACTTCCTGAGCTGGAGCAGGAAGTACATCCTCTGCTGTGCCTTCTTGGTGATGGTCCTGATGTTGGACGTCCACTTCAGGTCCTGGGAGATAGTGGAGCCCAGGAACCTTTAGGAGTTTAACAGAGGGGTCCTCTGAGTTGCAGTTGTTGGTGTAGAGTGAA